AAGCATTGGACTTGCGGTTTTCAACAAGAAGTTGAAAATATCACTTTTTACCAAAAATGACAAAAATATTCACCAAAATTAGAGAATTAAAGATATCATTACAAAATGAACAAATCTGAGAGAGGTCCACATGTGGTACCTATATATGTTATATCAAAGCAATTGGATTTGCGGTTTTTAACAAGAAGTTGAAAATATCACTTTTTACTAAAAATGACAAAAATATTCACCAAAATTAGAGAATTGAAGATATCATCATGAAATGAACAAATCTGAGAGAGCTAGGTCTACCCAAGGTACATATACACCAAGTATCAAATCATTCAGGCTTGTAGTTTTCAAGAAGAAGTCGAAAAAGTAAAACATTGACACAAACGACAACGGACAATCACTCATATGATAAGCTCCGCTCGACAAAGTCGACAGCGGAGCTATAAATATAAAATGGCTACCATAGGGCCATCTTAAATTTCATCATTATATACATGTGATGTGTGTGGTTAAAATTTTAATATGATCAGACATGTCAAAGTGATGATGCACAGGGTAAACTTATTCCCATTTTCGGATTTCATCCCCATAATATTTTACAAGAACAACGAGGGAAGTCTTTATTAAAAAAATAATTCTGCTTGTTTTTAAGTTAATAATGAATTAATTTATTTGGCAGTAAACTGCAACCTTGTTATAACAAACTATTTGGGGGGACATACAATTAGTTTGTTATAGTGAAGTGTTCACTATAATGATGCACACTGTTTGTTATAGTCGGGAGACATGCAATGTGTTCATTATATCAGGAAATTGATTATAAAGGTGTTCATTATGATGAGGGTACAGTGTACATGTTATAAAACTGGCATACCTGTGACATATTATCAGTGATGTGCATAGTGAAGGCTCTTTTATTACCGCAGCATTGTCGCATACAAGTCTCCGACTCTGAAAAGCAATATAAACCACTAATGATATTGTAACCTGAATAATTTTTAAGCTATGGAAAAATCATGCCTTTAAAGTGTGGTGACCGTTGAACTGTGTCCTGTTCAATATGGGACATACACAATGCATGTAAAATATATTGTTTAAATGAAATTCAAAGACGCACTTGTTACCATGGTTGTGGTTGCTAAGAACATGCGCTTACCTTACAGCCATTATCAATGTTAGTATATCTATATCAATAACTCAAATTACATTTCAGCATACTATGACAATTTGTTCCTATGGCACTCTCCCCACCCTAGTCAAAAGCTGTAACTATGTACTCGTCTGGAAACACCAGATAAAAATATATAATCGCCAAACTGTTTTTCGCACAAAACATAGAAATTTTTGGTCCAATTAACATTTTCTCACCATATCTCCAAATTTTGCTTGGTTACATATAGTGAAATACTCTTACATACATGTAGTTATAGTTATGGTTGTCAAGAATTATTAGAATATTCTGATGATTACTATTCATATTTTATGAAATAATGTTTTAACATTGCTTCCTATGAAATTTTTTGAAAAGTGTCCATTTTTAGTCTTCCTCCAAATAAAAAAATCATACTCAGACAAAACTTATGATCCCAAAAATTGTGAAAAATGTTTTTTGTATTTATTGATTAAATGCTGACAATCTACTTGTACCTTAAAAGAAAGAAAAATATAATGTGTAATATATCTGACACGATACAAGGAATAGTTTGCCTGACTTGGAAGTACTTATTTACAGTGTACACATATCTAGTTAAATAAACTTAAATTCAATAGAATTTCAATAACTTAAACATATATTTAAATTTACTTTACTTACTTTTAAATTATCAATTTAATGTTAAGTTTAGCAATAGTTTGGTATATTGTATACACTGTTTCACTTGTTAACATTTTGCATGTCTACACGTGTGCAGTGACTGGTTGGCGAGAACTGGTCGATCGGAAAATGAAATAATAGCACTGTGTGCAGCTGTCATTTAGTATAACATAAGGGCAATATTGGCACAGCATATTGTCAACTAGTGCTGATCAGTGAGTGGAAATTGTTATCAGACTTATACAGTGTACATGCTGATTGGCAAATATGACGTCAGTGTGTGACAGCCCATATCAAACTAAACCCTAAAGCTAATGCCAAGACACAATTTTATTTAACCCTTTTAATGACAAACTTTTATCACTATATATAAATTCATTTTTTTTCATTCACAAATTTTGATCAAAATGCATAGGCATTGGATGCAGATGACCATCTGGTTCAAATTTAATAAAAAATTACATATATTTACATAAATTAACATAAAATTAACAAATATGTCATTTAAAGGGTTAAATTGACTATAATGTAAGTTACTAGATAAATATTGTAACAAATTGCCTTTATTTTTATGATAGAGATACACTTGTATGGACATGAAATAACATAACTTTTCATGTAACTACTATGCACACACTAATACAGCGAATGATAATAGCGGTGTGCTGAAGTGTGCTCTGCGCTCCAGTAAGTATTGCAAATAGTGTTTAGAAAATTCTGTACATTACCTTCATGAGCAAAGTAAACTTGTTGGCCAAGAGAGTTCTTCACTTGATAACGATTAGCAGTCTCCCAGTTAGTCAATACTGCAGGCAAACAAAAAACAATTGTTATTCATTGAAATCAAATGACATCGCCCGCCTGCATCATGTTGTTCCGTTCAGACTCAGCACTAAGTATAGTTTGAATAGCTTTGGTCTGAATATCATGATGTATGGATATCATCGCTGTATTGCCTCGACATCCAAGACAACAGAGTTTCCACTGTGCGCAGTGACATTTATTCTCGGGTCAGGCATTTTCATCGCCTGGCAACCATCATGGTGAAAACAAAGACCAATAAATTCTCAGAAAACGGTATTATGGGATGGTTGTTGACATCCCCCTGAACAATGTAACACGATTACCCCTACATATGCAACATATTTATATCTGGTTGTGTAGGATTTCTTCAAACTTAAGTTTGTGCTGTTTTCTCGATTTTTTAACAAAGTAAAACATTACCAAATACTTCATAACATCACTTAAACAAGCAGCCTCTCGGCTGAGATAACTCCGCTGTTAGCGATGCACATTTCAATTAAAGAACAGAAGATATCATTAGAAAATGAACAAGATGCATAATATCAATGCAATGGGACTTGCTGTTTTCAGCAAGAATTCAAAAATATCATTTTTCAACATAAATGATTGTGGTTTTTAACAAGAAAAAAATATCACTTTTTACCAAAAATGACAAAAATATTCACCAAAATTAGAGAATTAAAGATATCATTACAAAATGAACAAATTTGAGAGAGGTCCACATGCAGTACCTATATGTATAATATATCAAAGCAATTGGACTTGCGGTTTTTAACAAGAAGTCAAAAATATCACTTTTTACCAAAAATGACAAAAACATTCGCCAAAATTAGAGAATTAAAGATATCATTGCAAAATGAACAAATCTGAGAGAGGTCCACATGTAGTACCTATATAT